ATCAGGAAGGCTATTCCAGATATTCCTCTGTTTAATATTCCTTCTTCAAATGCTGTAGGAGGTGAATGAAGAGGATGGAGGCAGTGAGGTGGATGTGGATGAAGGGATGGAGATGAAAGAGTGTGGCGATGGGGACGGAGAGGGGCCGTATCTCTCAGAGGTTGATCCTCCTGCCAGTGAGAGTGAGGATGGATACGGCAGTCACTCTCAGCGCTACACTACAGCGGACTCCACCGCCAGCAGCCCTGCCTCATCACAGTTGTGAGTGTCTCTGTGTATGTTTGTGTGTTAGCGTGTATTATGTGTGTTTTAATCTTTCGTCTGCCTTTAACAACTCTCTCTCTCAGCTCCATGTGTAGTGAAGATCAAGAGGCCTTGCAGGCTCAGAAGATCTGGAAGAAAGCCATCATGCTGGTGTGGCGGGCAGCAGCCAATCACAGGTGAGCTTCTCATTCATACTTACCTCAGCTGCTGTTTTGTGATGAGCTCTTACCTGTAGACAGAAATGTGTTGTATGTGTTTGTCATTTATTGTTTTGTGTTTCAGGTATGCAAGTGTGTTTCTGCAACCTGTGTCTGATGACATCGCCCCTGGTTATCACAGCATCGTACACAGGTATCAAGATGAGACCCTCTTATTCTTTTAAGTATGTAGGGCCCTGTGATTTCTGTGATGCAGAAAATGTGAACATAATCATAGAATCCAGTCATAAAAATGGAATTTACTGTATAACACCGAATGATAAATTTTGGGTGAATAAATCAAAAGTATATGAGTACAATTAACCAAATCAAGATATGGACAAGTATTTGTGAATATTAATAATAAAGCCGTATTAAATCATAAATCCAGAAAAATTAAAAGAGACAACACAGAATTTCTGAAATTAATAAAACGGTTCATAGGGCCCTATTATTATACAAATTGTAATAAATAAATTAAATTGTTAAAGTTTCATGAATTAAATAAATTTGGCATGCTTTTTGTTTATTAACATGTATTTAAATTATTAAAATTAAATCTGGAAAAATTAAAACAGAAACCTTGGAATTTGTGAAAAATAAAACATTTTATAGGGCCCTAAAAATGTAATTTTGGTTAAAATTTTAATAGATTGTTGTTACATAGTATAAGTTTCATGATTTCAAGGGAATAGACATGCTTTTTAATTACTAAAATTACTAATATTTAATTTAATGAAACATTAAAACAGAAAGCAACGTAATCCAAAAAAAATTAAACAAAAAACTTGAGACTTTGGGAAAAATAAAATGGATTTCATAGGGCCCTAAACATTAGTTAGCATTTTTTGATCTTAATGTTTATTTACTAATAAATTATTAAGGGAATAGTTCACCTGAAAATGAAAATTTGCAGAAAATGTATTCACCCTCAGACCATCCAAGATGTAATCTCTGAAATCTCCACCTCCTCAGACCGATGGACCTATCAGCCATCAAAAAGAACATAGAGTCTGGGCAGATCCGCACGACGGCGGAGTTCCAGCGTGACATCATGCTGATGTTCCAGAACGCGGTGATGTATAACAGCTCGGATCATGACGTCTACCACATGGCCCTGGAGATGCAGAGGGACGTTCTGGAACAGATCCAGCAGTTCTTGGCCACTCAGCTGATCATGCAAACATCAGAATCAGGCATCAGCACCAAGAGCCTGCGCGGAAGGGAGGCCAACCGCAAACAAGACCCCAATGAGAAGGTTAGGGACACACATGCATAGTCACACACACAAACCACAAGTGGAAACGATGCTGTGGAGAAGGTTGGAGAAATATCATCACACACACACAGTGACCACTATAAGGAGACATAATCACAACGCTTTCGCTGCTAATTATTTGGCCAGTGACATTTAATAGACAAACTTATATTGACGTATTAGAGCAGATCCTTCAGTGAGACAAAAGAGAGCTTAAAGAAGCAGGAACACATTAAAAGATATTTAAGACGGTTACTTTAATATTATATACTGCTATAGTTATTAATATTTAATATTTTATTATATTTCATATATATTTTTCATTTTAGTTTTAGCCATTTTTAGTAGTTTTTTTTAATATATATTTGAATGTATATTTTTTAATCTAATATTTATATTTTATTACATCTTTATTTAAATTCTCTAAAATTATTTTTAATAATTGCAGTTTTAGTTAGCAATAACAACACTGGATTGTTGAGTGAACAGCATGTGCAGTTATTAAGAAAAATAGCATCTCTAGAACAAATCAAGATACTTGATCCTTTTCCAGGATATAGGCTGAGATGTTTTTCAGAGAGCAGGCTAGAAGCTTCAAATGTCTCAAGGACGGGACATCAGAGTACATCAAAGAGTCTGTAGACATCTGAAGTGAAGTGTTGTGGACAGTGAAACGGTTTAGGAAGAGCGAGCTCGGAGTCATAGAAAGGAAAGTAGAAAAACAGCTTCCTGTGCACCACAGCATGGAGCTTTATCTGTGATGAAAACACTGTGGGATTGGCTCTTAATTCTGTCTCTGTTGAAGCAGCATTAATTCAAAAGTGTCCTGAAAACATAGTTTTAAAACCATTTGCCTCAAACTATCGGCTGGCAATGGCACCAAACAGCCAGTACCTGCAAACTGACCTGATTTCAGTGCATCTGAGATTGAATGGGAAAGCACAAACTGATGCATCATCAGGAAATATAACTCGCAATGTCTTTAGCCTGCAGACTTAATGGCTGTCAATACACACAAAATGGATTTGCGACCACGAGCTGCACATGACGTTGTTGTAATACTCACAGGTAATCTGCACAAATTGATTTTCTAGCTCTTAATGGGATGGCTGCACTCAAAGTGTCGTTTCAGCACTCAGTCCCTGAGCTAAGTTTTATTTAAAATCCAAAAATGCTGAAATGCAGGAAAAAGTTTCACTGTCCAAATACTTTCTGTACAAACGCAAAATGCAAACCTTGTATGGTGAATCTCACAAAACCTGTCAAAAACTTCATATTTCATATTTCACCCCAAAATGAGAAGCATGAAATAAGAACCAGATGTTTAATTGTCATGAAAATGGTTCTGTTTTTCTTTATGGCAAATATAAAATACAGTGCATTTAGAAAGTATTCAGACCCCTTCATTTTTTCACATATTATTATGTGGCAGCCTTATGCTAAAATGCACATCATTTCACAGCAATCTACAATCCATACCCAATAATGACAAAGTTCAAAACAGACTTGTAATGTCTTTGCACATTTATTAAAACTAAAAAAAACTGAAATATCGCATGCATCTGAAATAAAATGCATTTCAAAAAGGCATCTTTATGGACTATGGAGTGTGGATGGATGTGAAAAAAAAAACTTTAAAGCTGCAACACAAGAATTGTGAAAAAAAAAGAATATACAACTTTTTAAAGCTGCAACACACAAGAATTGCAAGTTAGTGATTCTTTCAGAATGCACTGTACCTTTTTTTGTTTTGGGCAGAAATGGGACTGGTCATGTTTTCGTAAGATTGATCCAGAAGCGATTTGGTTTCCACACGCTCCACATGAAACCCCTTCTTGATAGGACCCAAATAAAAGACTTTATGTCCCTTACACACACACACGAGTGAACTGCTGAAGTCCCTGACAGTAAGGTTAGCGTTACTTGCACTAACACACAGTCTCGTATGTAGACCCTGAGTCCTGCACACAAAGACCCTCATTTAGAGCCAGAACCACCAGCCAGATGGAAAAGGAACAACTCCAAACAAGACACTTATGAGAAGGTCAGTGCTGTACACACACAAACATGCACTCGCAGGTGAGAATCAAGGGCACTGCAGGTGAGATGACTTCTGTACTAACCCATGCACAAACACAGTGAGCCTAACACTCGAGTTTCTCTTCCAGGTTTCCACATGGCACCATATTTGTGGCTTAGTTGTTCTGTAAAGGATTGTATCACAAGTGTGGTTATACGCAGAATAATGTAAAATTTTCAAAAATGTGGCGGAGTATCTGTTTATCCATCTATCTGTCTGTCTGCTTTCTAAGTGTGTGTGTGTGTATAGATAGATAGATAGATAGATAGATAGACGCAAAATACCGTTCAAAAGTTTAGGGTCAGTAAGTTTTTTTTTATTTTTTTTTTTATGTTTTTGAAACACATTTCTTATGCTCACCAAGGCTGCATTTATTTGATCAAAAATGCTAGAAAAATATTTTAAAATCGTGAAATAGTATTATAATTTGAAATAGCTGTTTTCCATTTTAATATATTGTAAAATGTATTTTATTCCTGTGATGCAAAGCTTAATTTTCTTCATCATTACTCCAGTCTTCAGTGTCACATGATCATTCAGAAATCATTCTAATATGCTGATTTGGTGCTCAAGAAACACTTCTTATTATTATCAATGTTGAAAACATTTGCTTAATATTTTTTCTGGAAACGGTGATGTTTCATGATTTTTTTTTTTCAGGATTATTTGATGAACAGAAAGTTCAAACAGAATTAATTTTAAATAGAAATCTGTTGCAGCATTATAAATGTCATTACTTCTGCTAAATAAAAGTATACATTTCTTAGAAAAAAATCTTACTGGCCCCAAACATTTGTATATCACCTTATTATAGACAGGATAGAAATGTGATTATTGTAAACATGTAAACAATATATTTGTGTATGTGGTGTAAGTGTTGGGTTAAATAGCCTATTGATGTCTTCTTTTGTTGAATCTGTGTGCCACTTTTATTTTTTAACACACACCAGACCAAAGTTAAGCAAGTTTTTTTTATTTATTATTTTGTTTGCATGGTTTCAGTCTCAGTGATGCTTTCACACTGAGCTCTTTGCTGTGTGACTGAGATCATTCAAATGACTGGACACTCATTTCATCACCATCTATTTGAGTTTATGTTGGAGTGCTGCGGTTGTCATGGAAACAGTTACAACACACTCACAGATACATGAACACCTTAATCTTCATCCGGCTAACACATATATACACATCTCTCTCTGTTACTCATCAAGCCCTCAAATCCTCCCTTTAGTATCTACATTCTTAGGATTCTCCTTTTTCCATCTTGATTCCATCCTCCTTTTCTTTCTCAGCCGTGTGTCTACATGCAGAGAAGCTTTCTAGGGTGACCAGATGACCATGATAGAAAACTGCTCCATCCTCCAACACGTTTTATATGCGGGAGACCTGAGTTCAAATCCATTCCGCTGTGAAAGTTCATGTTTTTGTTTTAATTCACAACCATCTGGAAACAAAAGCCAATGGAAAGCAAACGTTTTGTTGACCTGAAGTCATCGTAAGATGTTTTTAAGATGACTGGCAATGTAAATTGTTAGCCAGATTAAAAAGAGTGAGTCTGCTAAATGTGTAAATGAAAATTAATAATTAATATCATGAGTAGGTTTGTTATTAAAAGTATATTAAATCGCTTTTTTCAGATTTTATTGTCAGAACAATAAAATAAGAGCATCTGTTTCTATTTAAAATCTTTTGTCAATCATTTTGCACATGCATGACAGATGTTTTCATCTTATATCTTCATATTTTAAAGGAAACACAACAGATATCCCATCCACTCTTGTCATTAAAGGGATAGTTCACCCAAAAATTAAAATTCTGTCATTAATTACTCACCCTCATGTCGTTTCAAACCTGTAAGACCTTCGTTCATCTTCAGAACACAAATTAAGATATTTTTGATGGAATCTGAGAGCTGTCTGACCCTGCATAGACAGCAACGCAACTGAAATGTTCCCAAGTCCAGAGACGTAGCAAGGAGATCTGTAAAATAATCCATGTGACATCAGGGGTTCATCCACAATTATACGAAGCTACGAGAATACTTTTTGTGCGCAAAAGAAAAGAAAAAAACTACTTTTCAACAATTCGTCTCCTCCGCGTCACCCTGGTGCCATTTTGGTGATACTCTCCAAAATGGCGCTACAGGGTGATGCGGAAGAGACGAATTGTTGAATAAAGTCTTTTTTGTTTTTCTTTTGTGCACAAAGTATTCTCGTAGCTTTGTAAAATTACGGTTGAACCCCTGATGTAACATGGATTCTTTTACAGATCTCCTTGCTACGTTTCTGGACTTGGGAACATTTCAGTTGCGTTGCTGTCTATGCAGGGTCAGACAGCTCTCAGATTCCATCAAAAATATCTTAATTTGTGTTCTGAAGATGAACGAAGGTCTTACAGGTTTGAAACGACATGAGGGTGAGTAATTAATGACAGAATTTTAATTTTTGGGTGAACTAACACTTTAAAGCCTACATCAAATCACTTCATTGTCTGTATAAAATGTTTATTTATAGCAACCAAACTAAAGTTAAGACTAATTAATGGGACAAGTGAATGTAAGTCCATCAGGATGATATACGAAGCGATATGGCTCATAAAACGTCTGGTCATTCTAGTCTCTGCACATGTCTCTGATGTTTTCCATCTCATGCTCAGGGTTTTAGATTAGTATACCTGGCGTTTGCTCTCATAACACCTGCTTTTGCTCTGTTGTACATGTCTGTCTCTCTGGCTATTTCTGGAATAGGTTTTAAATAGTGAACTCTCTTTTTCTCACTCTGCTGTTTGTCCTTCTACAGGACAGCCTATCCATGGCCTCTCCTGCTTTCCTTCTCTCTCTCTTTGTAAGTATCCAGGTTGAAGATCACAAGTTATTTCCCGTCCCCTCTTACCGAACACAAACACACACATGTATTCTGTGACACAGTTCTCTGTTTGGTTAGAGCTGATCGCTTGCACCAGCATTGAATTTGGTCCATGTTGTTATGAACATATCCAGGTTTGTATGCTAAAAGTTTGTGAGCATCATGATATGTTTAGCAGAATAATCCATTAAGAACTGAAAATTGAGACAATTTATTAACCCTAATGTATTTTCTAGTAAGTTTTTTTTTCCCAGAAGAATACTTTTATTCAGCAAGGATGCATTAAATTGCTCAAAAGTGACACTAAAGATATTTTAATGTTACAAAAGATTGTTTTCAAATAAGTGTTTTTCTTTTGAACTTTCTATTAATCAAAGAATCCTGAATTAAATGCATCACAGTTTCCACAACAATATTTTTCAGCATATTAGCATGATTTCTGCAGGATCATGTGACACTGAAGACTGGAGTAATGATGCTGAAAATTCAGCTTTGCATCACAGGAATAAATACATTTTACAATATATTCAAATACAAAACCGTTATTTGAAATGGCATCCTTCTCAGTATAACCGTTTTTACTGTATTTTTTATCAATTAAATGCAGTCTTGGTGAGCATAGTTTTTTTTTTTAACACTTTTGAATGGTAGTATATATCTTTTTTCATTTTACTTTTTTATTTTTGCTTGAACTTACCTTTTAAATGTTTTTTATTTATCTCCAAGAATCATCTAACACAACTCTTCCATGAGCAGCTTTAACTATTAACTCATTTACTCCTGAACACCACATTTTTTAATGCTCTTTCACTGTTTTTTTTTCTTCTTTTTTCTAGCTTGTACTCTTCAATTTCTTAACTATGTATTGCACAGTTCTGATGTCACCGTCTCTTTAAGATGAATGGCTTGTTCTAGTGGTAACACACGCACACTTCCTGTTCTCAGGTCAAAGCTAGTTAGTTTCTCACACTGATGGTCTGGTGTGTTAGGGCAGTGGATGACAGGCTGTTTGCATTTTCTCACAGCCTCCTGCTTCTCTGCTCTTCCAGGATGGAGGCACCAGAGGGCGTCGCAGTGCCATTGAGGCTGATATGAAGATGAAAAAGTGAACTGAGATGTCTCACTGCAGCTGTTATGGAAGTGCAAATAGGCTTTATTTCCGTTTCTTTAAGACGTTCTGGCTAAGTTTAGTTACTCAATGCCTCAGTGGTTTGACACAGCAATTCAACAGTCTAATTACAGAAGGACACCAAAAGAAGGGACTTTCACAGAAACCCTTCAGTCCTAGACCTGAAAAACTGGTCAAGTGTGCTCTGAGACTAGACTCACGGGACAGGACAAACTGACCTTGTGTTTGTTTGAGTTTAGAGGAGTTGTTTAAAAGTTTTTGACTTGATGTCACAAATTTAGCTGTCATCACTGGCCTTTTAAAAAAGCTGAATGTACCACCGTCATGACCACTGGATGGTTAGAATTTAGGATGTCATTTTCTAGAGCTGAGAATGAAACCTTACAAGCCATTGTTCAAAACAAAGATTACTATCGCCTTATCAGTTTGAGAGGATGTGGAACGACGGAGGACAGAGCAATAAAAGTAAGCTTTTTTTCTTCTATAGGAATGAAGATGGATCCTACGTTTCTTTAAGCTTGATTTTTGCCCAGTCAGGATCATGGATGCTTTGGATTACAGTTAAAGGCCTACTGTACTATGTTCAGTTTGTTTTCGTTCTTTAAGTGAGACGTAATAATTTGACATCTGTACGTTTCAAAAGAACATAGTTTTGTACAGGGTCTTTGTGTACAGTGTTTTTGTATATTGTGTCGTGAAATGTTTTAATAAAACATGAGTGTCTGCAATTACACAATGTTATTTTAAGAATAATTTATTCAACTTGTGCTTTCAAACAAAAACTATTAGTACAAATGCTTCACTGGGAGGACAATACCAGCTTGTCCTGTTCAAAGTCACGAGAAAACACACCGATATCCATTAATGACATCAACGTACATCAGCGGCGTGATTCATACACAATGTGAACCCTCCTATATCCCTGAACATTAGTAAACAATAGTGAAGAATCAAAACTGAACATTCTGCAGTCACAGCACACCCAGAGATGATCTGATCACACGTGCCGTGTCACCTGATAATAGTGTTTGTCTCAGAGCTCAAGATTTGGTGATGCTTTGAGCTTTTACAACAATATAAAATCCCAGGTTATACATGAATATAAATTACTCTTCATAAGTTCTGGATCAGTGAGATTTTTTAATGAAAGAAATTAATACTTTTATTCAGCAAGAATTCACTGAATTTATCAAAACTGACAGTAAACATTATAATGTAAAGATTTCTATTTCAAATAAATGCTGTTCTTTTGAACTAATTATCGAAGAATCCTGAAAAAATGTATAATAATTTTAATAATATAATAACTAAGTAAAATTTTCAGCAACACAACTGGTTTCAATATTAATACTAATACTAATAAACGTTTCTTGAGCAGCAAATCATCATATTAGTATGATTTCTGAAGGTTGATGACTGGAGTAATGGCTGCTGAAAATTCAGCTTCACCATCAAAATAATAAATACATTTTAAAGTATATTAAAATGGAAACCAGTTATTTTAAGCATCAAGCTAAATCTTACTGACCCCAAACGTTTGAATGATAGTATTTATGCATCAGGTTCTATGTTTTTAACTATTTGTATGTATGTTAATGATCTTTTAAGCAATATATAATGCAGTATTATAACAACATAGCTGTTCATACTGTTAGAAATGTCAGTTGCACAATATCAACTTCTGACATTGAACTGAACGTTATTATCTACATTTTTAAACACCTTTCAGTAAACTCTGAAATACACTAACAGAAATCATGTGCAAAGTGAACTTTTCCTAAACTTGTCCTCTTCCTCTGAGACGTCCTCAGGCATTATTTTCTCCTCCTTTTTACTTGTAATACCACACTTTTAATAAAACTCGAGTACAGTAGGAGTGGCGGACGAGTAGAGTTTCTGTTTGATCAGCCGATATTCCCGTCTGAGGCTCAAGACCTTCCCGCCCCCGAACAGGATCTTCAGCGGAGGCCATCCGCCCAGATCAGGCTGCAGGACCACCGAGACCTCGAAGGTCGGTGTGAGACTCTGATCGGGAATGATGGTGCCCAGCTTCAGAAGTGTGCCCTTGCTTTCCATGAACATGTGGATCAGTGCGCCTCGTATCCCACACGGCTCATCCGTGGATGAGCGCAGAATGTCTCCGGCCACACGTGTGGTCATGCGCCGGGGCAGACGCAGCTCCCGACAGCTCAGACTGGCTCCTTTGGCCTCATAGAGGCACTTCTCAATGCGTTTGGATAGGTCGAGTTGAAGACACGCATCATCTTCTCTTTCCTCTTCCAAACTGCACTCGGATCCCAGACCTGTGAATGAGTAAATAGACAGATTGTGTCAGGCTCAGCTGATCAGACAGGAGCTTTACGCCTCAGCAGTTTGAGAGTGAGCGATGGCTCATTAGATTAGGATCAAGAAACTAACACCGTCAGCCTGTAATACAGTGCCATCAGCTGATCTAAGCAGTCATGGACCATGGCCAGAATTAATGTTGCAATTTTGGAAAACTGGAACAATGTACATGATCCCTGCTCATATGAGTGTCATCTAATCACGTCTAATGTAAAAGCTTTTGAACATTAAAAGAAAGGTTTAATACATTTTGCTGTCACGCTATACGGGGTTAGCTGTCAGAATGGGAATATTCTGTCATTTTCAAAATATATAAAAAATAAATTAATAAAATAGGAACAAAACACGTGACAACCTGGCATTAACATTCATTGGACTTTTTAGTTGACCTTTGCTTTAATTACATCCTTTATATATATATATATTCCAAATTAACATTTGTGAACTAGGTTATTTAAAATCAACATGCAAAACCGAAACTTTTGACTTTATAGTTAGTGAGACAGAGCGCCTGTGACAACTTGCCCCGGTTTCCCCTACAATTGATGGTTTGGACAGACAGGAATAAGATACTTACTTGATGAGCTCTGTGCTTTCATGAGTCTGCCGCAGTGTTTGAGTTTGTCTCTGTCGGATCTGAAGTGTTGTAGAAAGCTCAGGTCCTCCGCTAGCTTTTCCTGTTCGCTCCTGACGGACATCCCGTTCCCGAACACGAGAGCTTGTGTATAGACCATTTTAACGTGATTTCCTCCGAGTCTTTCCCCGAGAGCTCGCCAAACTCTTCCACTGACTGTTTCTTTGTTCCGTCCATGAATGCGAGAGGCTGAGATGTGTTGCTCCTCTCGCGGCAGCCGGTTTTATACTGAGTTCAGTGAGCTGTCTGTGATGTTGCATCAGCTGAAGTTTGTGGGATGGGCGACATGACGCAAAGCCGAGAGAGCTTAAATCAGACCAGACTGCGCAAGTACATGCAACCGAACCAGCTTCTTGCGTTTCTATTCTATTCTATTCAATATAGACCTTATATTAAACAAACAGCAGGCCTAGTTGACAAATAACATGAACATTAACTTTTTGGATTAGAGCTAAATGTTATATATTTCTATTAGCCTATGAAAATTTTATATTTTACTATCTGACTGGTCACTATTTCTTTTTCCACATTTTTTAATCACCTTTAAGCTTTGTTTGTTTGTTTTTTATTCACTTAAATATAGTCGTGCAGTATTTTTCTAGTATTGTATGTTTTTCTCTTTCAACTTTTTTTTAATAAAAATGCACTAAAATAATCCTACAATAGGCCTATTTATTATATTATTATTTAAATGTACATTTATATTAGGTCATAAACAAGGCTAAACTGCTTTAACTGGTAGCAGACAATTATGGGAATATTATAGCATTATTATTATTTATTTTATGTTATTGTTTGTTTATTGTATTTTATTTACCACTATTTTTTCCCATTTTTAATCAACTTTTAGCTTTTTTTTTATTCATTTAAGTAGTCCTGCAATATTCATTCATTCAATTATTAATTTGTTTGTTTGTTTGTTTGTTTACATGTGGTTTCTCAAATAATATGAGATCACAAACATTACTAATCTACTTTCATCTGTATCAGACAATTATGGGGATATCATTTTTCCCCAGTTTTGTGTAATTTTTTATTATTTTATTGTTCTCTTTCTTTATCCACAATTCTTAATCAACTTTTACCTTTTTTTCCCAAATTCACTAATCCTGCCATGCTTCCTTGCTTATTTATTTATTATTTATTTGTTTTACATGTAGTTTCTGAAACAATAATGTGACGTCATAAATATTTATATGAATTATTTAACAATTATGGGAATATTATAGCATTATTATTATTTATTTTATGTTATTGTATTTTATTTACTACTATTTTTTCCCATTTTTAATCAACTTTTAGCTTTTTTTTTCGTTCATTTAAGTAGTCCTGCAATATTCATTCATTCAATTATTAATTTGTTTGTTTGTTTACATGTGGTTTCTCAAATAATATGAGATCACAAACATTACTAATCTACTTTCATCTGTATCAGACAATTATAGGGATATCATTTTTCCCCAGTTTTGTGTAATTTTTTATTATTTTATTTTTCTCTTTCTTTATCCACAATTCTTAATCAACTTTTACCTTTTTTTCCCAAATTCACTAATCCTGCAATGCTTCCTTGCTCATTTATTTATTATTTATTTGTTTTACATGTAGTTTCTGAAACAATAATGTGACGTCATAAATATTTATATGAATTATTTAACAATTATGGGAATATTATAGCAACATTTGTTTATACAAACACTGAAACAACATGAAACAAAACAAAATTATTATCCTAATAATTGATCAATTAGACAAAGAAATGTAGTGTAAAGGATAGAGACTAAAATATGTTTATTTTGACAGGTGATACAAATTGACCTCACACATGTGCATAAATGCTCATGGGCAAGTATGTGCTGTACTAAAAATGTGATTTCTAGAAAGTGATTCAGATTCAGTGCGAGATGAGGTGTGATTATTCACAGGTGAGACTCACATGACCAGAAAGACAAACACACAGTCAGTAAAATCCAGTTCAGCAGCCTTCTCTATGAAATGCAGATGACCCAGGAAACACGTTTACACTAGTTTACTGTACTCTAATGAAGTAAATAATAAAGCCAAAGAAAACAGATCTGTGACTTAAGTCTGTCTGATCTGCTGCAGGTTTGATCTAGAAAGTGCTTTTACAGTCTTATACTGCCATCATCAGCAACTGCCTGTTTGCCTTCTGTCTGTCTCTGAGTCATGATGAGGGACTTTTCCTCGTGACCTCATCTTTGTTCTTGCACTGTGACGTCACATTGCCCCACTCAAGTATGCAGAAATGGAGAACCATCTTTCGATATTATAATGAGGAACTAGAAGAGACTTCTGTAGAACCACCTTCCAGAAGTTACAGATTATGTAAATAAGGGAAAAATAAATTAACCACAGATCTCGTATACTGAGTGGGTGAACAAGGAAGGAAGAGTAAACTATTTGGAAGCCTTTGACCATGGAGTGACATGCAGAATATGCTTGTGTGTCTTCACTGAATCAGCTGTCAAGAAAATACATTCATATAACCTTAGACAAGACTTTTTTCAGCAGTATGTTTTGAAATATGTTTAGTTTATTCCTCCTGTCCAGTTCTCAGCTCCTCACGACTCTAGTCTTTGTTGATTTTGATCACAAACGGAGGATAGTGAAACTCGTGATAGTTCATCCATTAATGTCAAAACAAAACCTGATGGACATGTTCTTTCAATCAGCCGCTTAGATGGATGATTTGATTCACAGGAAAACCCTCAATCTACATCTTTCAGAAGTCTTATCTAAAGCATTTTTTACTGTTAGATTTATTTCATAAAATAATACAATACTATATATAATAATTTTATATTTTATAATTTAAAAAATGTAATTTATTTTC